TTAATGATTAATAAGTGGTGAGCCCTTATTGCTCCTCCCCACCTTGTAGAACCTGCTGATGGATGGACATTGCAGCCACATGGCCACCAGAGCCTCTTGCATTTTGGGGTAGTAATAATAATAATAACAATAATAATAAACTATTTTATATAGTATTATACCTTTAAAGGTAGCTTCTCAAAGCACTTTACAAAGAGAACACAAGAAATAAGAGGATATGAGGGGTTGCGGCCATGTTACTCTAAGGAAATTATGCCTATCCTGAGCCCTGGAGGATGAGCAGCAGCCAGTCATAAGCAGTTGCAGCCTGAAGGCAACCAGCCAGAAAGAGTTGTGCAGGCTGCAGCATTGACACAGCTGAGACCAGTCACTCCCCTCCTTCCTCCAGGCACAGCAGCCAGTAATAAAAGTGTTTCCCAATAGATTACCCTGCAGCCCATGGGCCTGTGATGGCATTTTACAAACAAGGACAAAATTGGATACAACTTTCTTAAGGCTATATGCTTCTAAATTCAAGGTCTGTCCCAGAAAAGGGGGTCATCTGGTTACCCTAATCTGTACTCTCCAGTTGGTCCTATAATTCATCACAAATAATCTGATCATGCTTAAATGCATTGCTACAATATAAACATTATGCTTGTAGTCTACCCCTGCTTCTCATACAGTATATCCAGACCTTAGGGTATAACACATACCATATGTGTTAAATATATTATTTTGGTTCAACTGTTTTTAGCCATTACTTTTAACTGTTATTCAGCTTGTGTTTATGGATTTATAGTTGTTGTGAACCTATTTCCAGGTATTATATGGGAGGCATACGAGTTATACTATAAAACAGTCTTGACCATCTTAGAGTATATATACTGCTCAAAAAAATTAAAGGAACACTTTGAAAACACATCAGATCTCAATGGGGAAAAATATCATGCTGGATATCTATACTGATATGGACTGGGTAATGTATTAGGAAGAGAAGGATGCCCCATCTGATGGAAATGAAAACTATAGGACCGAATTCAAAGACACCCCTAAATCAAGGTGAAAAAATGATGCAGCAGGCTAATGCATTTTGCTGAAATTTCCTTGCAGCAACTCAAAATGGTACTCAGTAGTTTGTATGGCCCTCACTGGCTTCTATGCATACCTGACAACATTCGAGCATACTCCTAATGAGAAGACGGATGGTGTCCTGGGGTATTTCCTCCCAGATCTGGACTAGGGCATCACTGAGCTCCTGGACAGTCTGAGGTACAACCTGGCGGTGTTGAATGGACCGAAACATGATATCCCAGAGGTGTCCTATTGGATTTAGGTCAGGCGAGAGTGGGGGCCATTCACTGGAATCAATTTCTTCATCCTCTACGAATTGCCTGCATACTCTCACCACATGATGCCGGGCATTGTCATGCACCAGAAGGAACCCAGAACCCAGTGCACCAGCGAAGGGTCTGACAATGGGTCTAAGGATTTAATCCCAATACCTAATGGCAGTCAGGTTGCCATTGTCTAGCCTGTAGAGGTCTGTGTGTCCCTCCATGGAATTGCCTCCCCAGACCAACAGTGACCCACCACCAAAACGTTCATGCTGAATGATGTTACAGACAGCATAACGTTCTCCATGGCTTCTCCAGACCCTTTCTCGCCTGTCACATGTGCTCAGGGTGAACCTGATCTCATTTGTGAAAAGCACAAAGCGCCAGTGGTGGACCTGCCAATTCTGGTTTTCAATGGCAAATGCCAATCGAGCTCTATGGTCCTGGGCAGTGAGCACAGAGCCCACTAGAAGACGTTGGGCCCTCAAGCCACCCTCATGAAGTCTGTTTATGATTGTTTGGTCAGAGAAATTCACATCAGTGGCCTGCTGGAGGTCATTTTGTAGGGTTCTGGCATCCTGTTCCTCCTTGCACAAAGGAGCAGATACTGGTCCTGCTGATGGGTTACGGACCTTCTACTGCCCTGTGCAGCTCTTCTAGAGTAACATCCTGTCTCCTGGAATCTCTTCCATGCTCTTGAGACTGTGCTGGGAGACACAGCAAACCTTCTGGCAATGGCTTGTATTGATGTGCTATCCTGGAGGAGTTGGACTGCCTGTGCAATCTCTGTAGGGTCCAGGTATCGCCTCATGCTACCAGTAGTGACACTGATTCTAGCTAAATGCAAAACTTGTGAAAAACAGTCAGAAAAGATGGGTAGGGAAAAAAATGTCAGTGGCCTCCACCTGTAAAACCGTTCCTGTTTTGGGGGTCATCTCATTGTTGCCCATCTAGTGCACCTGTTGTTAATTTCATTAACACCAAAGCAGCTGAAACGGATTAACTGACCAGATCAATATTCTAGGAGTTTAACTGACTTGATGCTATACTGTGATTAAAAAGTGTTCCTTTCCCTTAGCCTCTAAACTCAGAGACGACCCATTTTCCGGCATCAAATATATCAACACAGAACACAAAATCAGTTTATTTGCGGATGACCTCATTCTAATGGTGACCAACCCGTACAAATCCCTTTCGACAATCCATACCCACATCTCCAACTACTCGTTAGTTTCCTACTATAAACTTAACGAACCTAAATCTTTGATACTGAATCTCCACATATCCCCTCATGACCAAAAAATACTATCTACACAATTCCCATTCTCATGGGAAACCCACAGTATCCCATATTTAGGAATCAGGTTAACTACAACAACTGATCAACTATACCCTTCAAACCACAAAAAACTCATTGAACATATCTCCCACGAAATCACCTCTCTTCGTACCGCAGAGCTTTCTAAACTAGGGCGAGTTGCGACTTTAAAAATGTAACTTTAAAAAACATACTACCCAAAATTCTATACATATTCCGCTCACTCCCGATACCATTTCCTAATGTGTTCTTCTCCAAACTGAAAACAATCCTCACGAAATTCCTCTGGAACTCCAAAAAACCCAGATTCACTACCAACCTTCTTATTCGCACCACACTTAGGGGAGGTGCAGGCCTCCCTCACTTGAAATCTTATTACAACGCCACCTTACTTAACCAATTGTACTTTTGGTGGAACCCTTCGAACGATAAAATATGGTCCATTTTGGAAACTTGCTCATTTCACCCCCTTGACCCTAAGAACATACTTATAATCCCACGTACACACCAATCCGCATACCATTGGAAACACCCCTGTATCAAAGCCACCCTACAGGCGTAGCAAGACTGTCAGGAATGGACTCAGCACTGGAGGTGGGACTCACCTGCTGTGTGGGCTGCAGTACTAGGGCTGACCAGCGGGTGCTCTCAGCAGCCAGAAGCTCACTCCGGCAATCATCCAACACCTGGGCTGATTGCAGGAGGTGTATTTAAGGAATGACCAGGTCTGTGATCTGGGCCTTGGTGTTTGTTTCCCATGAGCCCCTGTACCTGGTATCCTGTATTCCTGTTCTGCTACTATCTGATTTGTTGCTGACCCTACCTGATCCTGACCTCTGCTGACTTCTCCTGCTTGATCTCTGGCTTGCCTGACCATCCTTCTGCCTGATCCTCTGTACCGCGCTGGCCGTGAGTAACTGAACCCGGCTTGTGACCCTGACTATTCTCTGCCTGCTCCTCCGGTACCTCGCTGCCCACACGTTGCTGACCTGGCCTGCCTGACTATGCCTGACGCTACTCAGACGATCCATCCTTCCATCCCACACGGATCAGTCCCTGTTACCAGGTCTGCCAGCCTCTTCACGTCAGGCTTTCCCACAGTACATACCCTCGGTGGACCCCTCTAACACAGTTGGGTGCACTCAGGGGCCGCGACCTGGTCTCAGTCCTGCGCCAAGTCCATCCCCACCATCAGGGGCTCTGGTGAAAAGGCAGACTGGGGCTTAGACTCCGCGCCCTGGGGAATCCCGTTCTGTGGGTACTAGAGATCCCGCCGTGCTGTGCCTGCCAGTACCTTACGGCCCGCCTGACCATTCCACCTCTCCAGCCCTGACTACGCCTGTGTTCCTGAAGCCTGCTACTTCCCTGTGTCAGTCCACACATTTCTGGTCACACCCCTAACAGAACACCAAGGCCATTCCTGACCAGAAGTGGCTGCACAGGGAAGCCATCTTGGCTTATTGTTGTGAAGGATGCATCCTGAGGATGTTGTATATTTGTGTCTGCTAGTCTTTGATGACAGAGATTATGCCTATGAGACTCTGCAGGAGTATACCAGAGATCAGCTGCTAGAATGCATACGGATCGCTCATTTTCTAGTGGATCAGGGCACAGAGTTCTCTGAGGTGCAGCCATTGATTCAGGTTTGTGCAGAGTTGGCTTCGTCTGGTGCCCCTGAGGGAAGGGATGACTTTTTGCCGCCATTTAGTGCAGACCAGGTAGAGTCCTGGTATGGTTATTAGAGGATGATGTGGATTGCTTCTTGCAGCATTATTCTGCATGTTCACAACAGGTGCTTAGGGATTGTATAAACGCAGTGCAGTCTTTGACCAGACAGGCTTTGTGTAAGCTGAGCTTTGTTCAGCCAGTACTGCAGACATGGTCAGATTTGTTACATCCAGCCTCAGTCAGCTTGCAACAACCCAGTCCTGCTTCTAACCATTACTCTGCTCAAAGCTCTCTTCCTCCAGTTCCCACAGCACCCCCAGTGACAGCCCAGTATACCCTGCTAGCTACCACATGTCAGTCCCCTGCTCCCACTCGCTGCACCTATCCTGCCTTTTACCCTGTAAAGAAGCCAACTGTAGCAACTGCTCCCTCCTTATTTCCATCCTCCGGCTCTTCCCTGTCTTCAGCTGCTCCATTCGTTTACAGACCTGCGTTTACTTACAGTGCTCCAGTAACTAAACCCAAGAAGAAGCGAAAATTCTTTCCAACCGGAACCATTCTGCCAGTATCCAAACCAGTCAGTCTGCTGTCTGAGAACCCACCTTCCATGGTTCAGCCTGATACCCTGATGCCAGATGACTCGGTGCCTGCGGTCTTGCCAGATGACTCGGTGCCCACGGTCTTGCCAGATGACTCGGTGCCCACGGTCTTGCCAGATGACTCGGTGCCCGCGGTCTTGCCAGATGACTCGGTGCCCGCTGTCGTGCCAGATGACTCAGTGCCCGCTGTCGAGCTTGGTGACCCGGTGCCCACGGTTCTGCCAGATGACTCGGTGCCCGCTGTCGTGCCAGATGACTCAGTGCCCGCTGTCGAGCTTGGTGACCCGGTGCCCGCGGTTCTGCCAGGTGACTCGGAGCTCGCTGTCTTTCCAGATGACTCGGAGCCCACTGTAGTGCCAGATGACTCGGTGCCCGCTGTCAAGCTTGGTGACCTGGTGCCCGCGGTTCTGCCAGATGACTCGGAGCCCGCTGTCGTGCCAGATGACTCGGTGCCCGCCGCTGTCGTGCCAGATGACTCGGTGCCCGCTGACGTGCCTCTGTCCGCTGCCCAGCCTGACGTGCCTCTGTCCGCTGCCCTGCCTGACGTGCCTCCGTCCGCTGCCCAGCCTGACGTGCCTCCGCCCGCTGCCCAGCTAAACTGGCCAATAACTGATTCCCAGCCTGCTCCTGGAAATCCTGTGTCCAGCGACCTTCCTTCCTGGGTTCCCCTACATAAAGAGAAGTCTGCTAGCAGGAAACCCAGCCAGCCGGTTGACTCCGGCAGTAAGATATCCTGCCAGTTACCTGACCCGGGCGGTGGAACATTTTGCCCACTAAGGACTGTTTGGAGCGTCCTGAGGCCGCTCCTTGAGGGGGGGGTACTGTCAGGAATGGACTCAGCACTGGTGGTGGGACTCACCTGCTGTGTGGGCTGCAGTACTAGGGCTGACCAGCGGGTGCTCTCAGCAGCCAGAAGCTCACTCCGGCAATCAGCCAACACCTGGGCTGATTGCAGGAGGTGTATTTAAGGAATGACCAGGTCTGTGATCTGGGCCTTGGTGTTTGTTTCCCATGAGCCCCTGTACCTGGTATCCTGTATTCCTGTTCTGCTACTATCTGATTTGTTGCCGACCCTGCCTGATCCTGACCTCTGCTGACTTCTCCTGCTTGATCCCTGGCTTGCCTGACCATCCTTCTGCCTGATCCCCTGTACCGTGCTGCCCGTGAGTTACTGAACCCGGCTTGTGACCCTGACTATTCTCTGCCTGCTCCTCCGGTACCTTGCTGTCCACACGTTGCTGACCTGGCCTGCCTGACTATGCCTGACGCTACTCAGATGATCCATCCATCCATCCCACACGGATCAGTCCCTATTACCAGGTCTGCCAGCCTCTTCACGTCAGGCTTTCCCACAGTACATACCCTCGGCGGACACCTCTACCACAGTTGGGTGCACTCAGGGGCCGCGACCTGGTCTCAGTCCTGCGCCAAGTCCATCCCCACCATCAGGGGCTCTGGTGAAAAGGCAGACTGGGGCTTTAGACTCCGCCCCTGGGGAATCCCGTTCTGTGGGTACTAGAGATCCGGGCGGTGCCTGCCAGTACCTAACAGCCTGCCTGACCATTCCACCTCTCCAGCCCTGACTACGCCTGTGTTCCTGAAGCCTGCTACTTCCCCGTGTCAGTCCACACATTTCTGGTCACACCCGGATCCCTAACAAAGACCTCCTCACCACCAAATTCAAGGACATTAGACGCATCCCTACTCCACTCAATATATTACATAGCTTTACACCCTCCCTTAACTTAACACATTGGACTAAAAAAAGGCATAATACACATGACTGACCTCTATGACAATCAACATATATACACGATCCATGACCTTCAGAGTAAATACAATCTTCCTCCTTCTGAATACTATACCTTTCTAAGAATCATACATTGTCTACTAATAACAAAAATATCTCGCTATTCGGAGATCCCAATAACTGCGCACCACTTCTTCTCCAAAATGCAATACCCTGGTAAGGGCATCTCCACCTTTTACACATACCTCACTAATCTGCAATTTGCCCTACATACTACTTCCCTAACAAATTGGGAAAAAATACTTTCAGAGAATATTACAACACAAGCTTGGGAAAAGGCGTTTAGCGTTACTTACATATCCACCCAGTGTATCTCCCATTGGGAGTTATATCTGAAAATCCTCCACCAATGGTATCTCACGCCGGTTAAACTATCGATCTATTATCCAAACCACTCTTCCTCTTGCTGGAGACAATGTGGTGAAATAGGCTCCACTCTACACATCCTGTGGCACTGTAAATCACTTGGATCATATTGGAATAGCGTTTTCAAACTGATCTCTGAAATATCTGGAACCATAATTACTCCAAACCCTTCCTTAGCGCTCCTGCATATAGGAAATTAAAAATTTCCAATCGACTCCCGCACCATTATCACTCACATACTTTTTGCAGCCCAAATTAACATCACTAGACTATGGAACACCACCAATGCTCCTTCTCTTACATCCCTGATTCGAGATCTCAATTTCCAATGTGACATGAAAATGAGGTCACTTTCAAATAACTTCTCCCAACATAAGTTCACCTCTCAATGTGCCCGTTGGTTACAACACCCAAAATGCACTATACAACTTTGATTAAAATTCCACATACCCACATATGACCCATTAACCAAATCCACCCCAAGCTGGTACCTCCTCCTCTACCAAGTTATACCCCCTCCCCCTATTTTTCCCCCGTTTAATACTTTCTCAACTGCCTTGTTCACTAGTTCAACATATTTGTGAGAATACCTCTGATGTTACTGCTCTCTAGACTTCTACAAACCTATTACTTGGAGGGGTTCAATACGCTTGTTTAATTTGTACTATGACATCTCTCTCATTCTATCCTCTTGTTGAACCATTTAACATCTTTTGTTATGTTCATTAAAACCTCAATAAAAATATTGAACATAAAAAGTGTTCCTTTAATTTTTTTTGAGCTGTGTATATATATATATATTTGTTACCACTAGAGGGTACTCATACATAAACCAACACATTTTTTTACAAACAAAAGTTTGCTTATTTGAAAAGAGAAATACCTAACTGCAGTAATCCACAGCATTCAGTTAGAATTCATCTTTCATTGATTTGCCTTTACTAAAATAAAATTTAAATTCTGTCAGTGTTCAGATGTGCTCTTTGTATTTGTTTAGTGAAAAAGACTAGTTCTGTTCAAAGAGATTAACAATGCACTTACAGTATGTTTTAGATACTGAAAAAGGCAAACATGCAATAGTGTCAATGCTCTAAGCTTTTCAGTGAAATTGTTTGGTAATGACTGTTAACTGTATAATTTGGTATAATACAACAAAATACCAGAAATGCAGCAGTTGTATTGATACCACAGGTTAATCCCTTTTGTGGATTAGCTAATACAAATTTGATGCACAAAGAGACTGGGCTCCATTCACTAAAGCAGATCACATGCGGTATTTAGGTGTTCGAACTCATTTTTCCTAAATATGTAGCATGTAATGCTGAAAATGTATTTTCACTATTACATAAATACCACATAAAATGGCATTAAAGTCAATTCACAGAAGGAAATAAGTAATTAAATGCATGTCATAATTAGGTAGTGGTCCAGGAATACAGTAATGATCGAGGTGATAACTTTTGCCACCACACCTCAATGGACAGGGAATGGAAGTGTTTAAAAGAGTGCCAATTTAAAATCTAATGAGCATTTTGATAATCTACACTCACATTTGGGAGCAGGATTTAGCATTGCTCTCCTCTACATCCAGCCTTTTTGAGGTTAATTTGTTTCAGGCCATTCAAAGGAGGGCGAGGAGAAGAGTGGTTATAATGTGCCAAAGCTCATTTAAAGCAGCACACCTTGCTTGATGATTTCACTGAAGTAGAAGTGCTCACTAAATGTTGTCTGGTTAAGGAGCAGATTATGCTACTGTTTGAGGAATATGCAACCTTTTCTTGAGCCCACCACATGGAGTCACTCAAAGTCACTCCAACAAGTTGTTGGCTGTCTCTCACTTACTTGACAATGCCTCATATCAGATGGTACCGGAAGAAGTGGTTGGAGTATCCCAGCCATCTTTTTTATGTAAACTTACTAAGGCCCCAAACAGGGGCGGACTGACAACTCATGGGGCCCCGGGCAATAGGGGATCATGGGGCCCCTGTATCCATGCCCAAAACTCAAAAAAGCCTATGAAAAAGGTACCAGGGGCACCTCATGGGACCCCCTACTGACCCCGGGCCCTCGGTCAGTGCCAGAGTTTCCAAATGGTCAGTCCACCCCTCGCCCCAAATATATATACAGTGCCTTGAAAAAGTATTCCTCTCCCTTGAAATTTTCCAAATTTTGTCACTTTGCAACCAAAAACGTAAAGGTATTTCATTGGGATTTTATGTGTTAGACCAACACAAAGTGGCACATAATTGTGAGGTGGAAGGAAAATGATAAATGGTTTTCAAAATTTTTTACAAATAAATATCTGAAAAGTGTGGCATGCATTTGTCTTTAGCCCCCTTTACTCTGATACCCCTAACTAAAATATAGTCTAACCAATTGCCTTCAGAAGTCATCTAATTAGTAAATAGAGTCCACCTGTGTGTAATTTAATCTCAGTATCAATACAGCTGTTCTGTGAATCCCTCAGAGGTTTGTTAGAGAACAAACAGCATCATGAAGGCCAAGGAACACTCCAGACAGGTCAGGGATAAAGTTGTGGAGAGGTTTAAAGCAGGGTTGGGTTATAAAAAAAATATCCCAAGCTTTGAACATTTCACGAAGTACTGTTCAATCCATCATCCAAAAATGGAAAGAGTATGGCACAACTGCAAACCTATCAAGACATGGCCGTCCACCTAAACAGACAGACTGGGCAAGGAGAGCAATAATCATAGAAGCAGCCAAAAGGCCATTGGTAGCTCTGGAGGAGATGCAGAGATCCACAGCTCAGGTGGGAGAATATGTTCACAGGACAACTATTAGTCGTGCACCCCACAAATTTGCCCTTTATGGAAGAGTGCCAAGAAGAAAGCCATTGTTGAAAAAAAAGCTATAAGAAGTCCCGTTTGCAGTTTGCGAGAAGCCATTGAGGGGGACACATGGAAGAAGGTGCTCTGATCCGATGAGACCAAAATTGAACTTTTTGGTCTAAAAGCAAAACGCTATGTGTGGCGGAAAACTAACACCGCACATCACCCTGAACACACCATCCCCACCGTGAAACATGGTGGTGGCAGCATCATGTTGTGGGGATGCTTTCCTTCTGCAGGGACAGGAAAGCTGGTCAGAGTTGATGGGAAATGGATGGAGCCAAATAAGGGCAATCTTAGAAGAAAACCTGCTAAAGTAAAAGACTTGAGACTGGGGCAGAGATTCACCTTCCAGCAGGACAAGGTCCGGAAACATTCAGCCAGAGCTACAATGGAATGGTTTAGATCAAAGCATATTCATGGGTTAGAATGGCCCAGTCAAAGTCCAGACCTAAATCCAATTGAGAATCTGTGGCAAGACTTGAAAATTGCTGTTCACAGATGATCTCCATCGAATCTGACAGAGCTTGAGCTATTTTGCAAAGAAGAATGCGCAAAAATTTCACTCTCTAGATGTGCAAAGCTGGTAGAGACATCCCCAAAAAGACTTGCAGCTGTAATTGCAGCGAAAGGTGGTTCTACAAAGTATTGACTCAGGGGATTTTAGATTTTAGTTAGGGGTATCAGGGGGCTGAATACAAATGCACACCACACTTTTCACATATTTGTTTGTAAAAAATTTTTAAAACCATTTATAATTTTCCTTCCACTTCACGATTATGTGCCACTTTGTGTTGGTCCATCACATAAAATCCCAATAAAATACATTTACGTTTTTGGTTGTAACATGACAAAATGTGGAAAATTTCAAGGGGTATGAATACTTTTTCAAGGCACTGTACATGCCTACCACATTAAGAATTAAATTAAGAATGATTTCTATGCGGTAGCTGGGATTCCCAATGCCATGGGTGTAATTGACTGCAC